CGAGAGTAAATACATAGCTTGATGTGGATTTTCTATCATCTACATCTCCCGCAAAATCTGAATCTGAATACCCCTCTATATGTAGAGAATCAGATCTTCTGTACGTTAGCATGAGACCTTTTGTGCCTTGCAAATAACGCAAAGCTTTCTTTACCATTCTCCAGTGTTCTATTCCTGAATTACTCTGATATCTGCCAAGTATCCCCATAACAAAAGCTAAGTCAGGACGTGTACATACTTGAGCATATTGTAAGCTTCCTACAGCTGAAGCATATGTAACCGCTTTCATCATATGGAATCGCTTTCATTCGATTGATCTCATATTGGTTCCTGGGACATTGGAATTCCTCAAAACTATCACCCTTGACTATAGGAGCAGGTGAAGGCTTACACGCATGCATACTGTATTTCTTTAGAACCTTTTCTAAGTATGCCTTTTGCGATAATCCTAAAACCCCATTTCTTCTATCTCGATGAATCTCTATCCCTAAAACAAACGAAGCTTCACCAAGATCTTTCATGTCAAAATTTGAGGACAAGAACTTCTTTGTCTCCAGTAGTAGATTAACATCACTACTAGCGGTAAGATGTCATCCACATACAAGATTAAGAAAATGAATTTCCCATTCTTGAACTTTGTATTAATGCAATTGTCCTCTACATTCTCTTTAAACCCAAACTTCCTTATCGTTCTATCAAACTTTAAATACCACTGTCTAGAGGCTTGTTTTAATCCATACATTCTTTTCCTTTTACAACAAAACATTTTGGTTGTGCCATGTAAACATTTTCATCCAAATCCCTATTAAGGAATGTCGTCTTTATATCCATCTGATGTAATTCTAAATCATAGTGTGCCACTAACGCCATTATGATTCTAAAAGAATCCTTGCATGAGACTGGAGAAAATGTCTTATTATAATCTATTCCTTCTCTTTGCGTAAAGCCTTTCGCCACAAGTCGTGCTTTAAATCTTTCCACATTCCCTTTGGAGTCATATTTAGTCTTGTAGACCCACTTACAACTACTGTCTTGGCTCCTTTAGGAATTTTTTCTAAGTCCCAAACATCGTTGGTGCTCATTGATCTCATTTCATCTTGCATGGCTTCAAGCCACTTCGACAAGTGAGCGCTTCTCATAGCTTCTTCAAATGAGGTTGGATCACCCTCCATTTAAAATTCTTCACATTCATAGACTTCGTAGTCATCAGGAATGACTGGTTTTCTTGCTCTCTGAGACCTTTTGAGAGCCTCATTAGTTGGCACTTGTTCCATATGGGGTTGTTGATGCTCTTCCTCATATGCGACAACGGGTTCTATAGGATCATAAAGGATAGGTTCCTCATGTTCATTTATTATTGCCATGGGAGAACTAATAATAGGTGTTGCCACTGCAGAGTCCTGTACTATTGGTGCAGCAGCAACAGGTAGCGAGAAAATGGCTCCTGAACCATCGGAGTGGGCACATATACCCGCTTATCCTCAAGGTTAATTTCTCGTGCTACCATGCTCTCCCTGACCATATCATCCTCCAAGAACACAGTGTATCTTGTTTCCACAAGCTTCGTATGTCTGTCAGGATAGTAGAAACGATAATCTTTTGACATATCTAGATAGCCAATGAAATGACAACTGACTGTCTTGGAGTCTAGATTCCCTATGTTTGGGTTAAAAACTTTAGCCTCAGCTGGGTAGCTAGTGAACTGACTCCACCTTCTTGAGATACTCAGTGGCGGTGATACATTCTAGGATCGAACCCCTTATTGGATCCTCAATGGAGCCCTTTATCACCATCAAACATTTGCGGTTTGAACTATCCCACTTCGCACGATCAAGGTCGTACTTCATTCTCACTTCTGCATGGTCACGCTATCGAGTAGCGAAAGCTGCATCAGTCTCATTTGCTTCCCTCACCAGGTCCACTGGCTCAGTGGGACACGAAGAGATAAGTGTTAGATCATTATCGAACAGCGTAAGTGCTATCTCAAGCTTATCTCGCTATACGTTGTAGTTGCTTTCATTAAGAGGCAGAATGGACGTGATAAACGTCATTGGGTTGTATCCCAAAAACAACGTCGGAGATTATGAGAAATGTTTAACATAATAATTGCATGCCTTAATTTAATGTTGGTCAAAATTAAAACATACAATATTCTTCTACACTAATTCTACATCATCGTTGGACAGAAATATAATTAATGTATAAAATCTCATGAACAAAAAAATTATAATATTGCTATTACCAACGTTGGTCAGAAAATAATAATATCATAATTTACAAAAACTTATTATTACTACTCTTCAAAATTAAATCCTCCCGTTGGTTCAAATTTAATTAGAAGATTATAAGCATCGTCATTTGCAGCGAAAACATGAAAATAACCTTAAAATAATCCACCCTATTCGCTTGATCGTATAAGCCATGCTTATCAGCCATGATACAGAGTTTTTCTCTGACAACAAAACAGCATCAGTCGGCTTATAAGCCACAGAAACGATCAAGCGAATAAGGTGATATTATTCAGAAGCATTTTAAAACAATTTTCTACTCTCTGAATAAATTTTCCCGTTGATTTAAATTTGGGCAAAGATTGAACATGAAAACTTCACAAAATTCATCATAAATGCTTCTGGAAAACAAAAAAACTAGACTGACTCAAACTTTTCATTTTGGCCCCATTGAACTCGTTTACCATGGGTTCAGACGCTAAGGCAAGGCGCTTGGATCGATGGTCGTGGCTCAGCAGCACAGAAGCGGCAGCGTCTTGGCCCAAAGAAAACGCCGCAAGCAACCCTACGCTCTACGTCGTGCTACCAAGACCCTCACGCTTTCTGTGACCCGCTTTGCTTTCAAGCAAGAGACCCCCGCATCCCAGGTCACAACCTGGGCCTGGGCCGGGAAACTTCTTCCCCGCCTGGGCCAAATCTAGCCCGTGCAATCTGAGCCGTTCAATCTCATCGAACGGCTGGGAGGAGATTTTGAATAACAAACCCCCCTGACCGCCACACCCCAAAACCCTAGCTTCATTCCTCATTCTCACCCTCTCCTCTCTTTCGCGGGCGGCGCCCGAAGGCGACGGAACGGCGGCTGCGCGTGGCAGCCGGAGGAAGGCGACAGCGCCGCCGCGAGGCCTCTCGCCGGCGCGCGCTCGTCCGAGGGTGAGCACACCACTGTCGAGCGGCCGTGGGGCGGTGCCCTGAACCCTGGCCCGTGCATCGGTGAAACAGCGCCGTGCGGTGGCTCGGCTTTTGCTTCCCATGCGGTGCCATCCGACGGCCGGCGGTGGCGGCCAGTAGGTGAGAAAGGTAGGTCCCGCCGGCCCTCTGTTCTTAACTCACTTCGGGTTAGAGTTAGGGTTAGGGTTTCAATCCGAGTTGACTCGAATCATCTCCTTCTATTTTCTACCCCGATCTAGATCTACACACTAAGTAAGGCTCGTCTGATACCAATGTTAGAAAAATAGGATCATTAGGAATAGATCTAGTGAGTGGAAACTTCACTAATCACAACATAAACAAGTAGATTATCCTGGTACATGAACTTGGGAGAAAGAAGAGAGGGGAAGAGGGGTAGATAGAGCTGACCGTCCTGCTTGGAGGCGGATGAAGCCATGGAGTCGGTGGCAAGATCAACGCCGGGGTGAGTGGCTCCGGTGACGGTGCTGGTCCTGGCAGCGTAGATCTAGTGGTGAGGGTGGTGGCGCTGGCAGTGGCGCTTCCCATCGCTGTCAGCGCTGCCCTCTCGATCGGACTAGGGTTAAGATGTCGGTGGAAAGTTGGCGGCTACGGTGAACCTCGTACACAATGCCCCGGCCCACCTCTTCCTTTTTATAGCGCTGCGCGACGGAGGCCAACCAACCATGATTGGGTTGGCCGTCCCATCAGGACGCGGATCAAAGACCCAAATTGACCGTTGGGCCAACTTAGTGGAGATCAACCTAACATACCGAACTCACAAACCAAACCCAAAACCCATATCCTTCTATAGATATTCTGGGAAGACGAAGAAGCCACCGCCATCACCAGGTATGTGCACATACTAGGCAAGGCAAGTCTGCCTTACAAACCAAACACGTCCTAAACTTGTCTAGCCAGCCCACCAGTTCATTATTTATGAACAAACACAACAGTAATATATATTCTACTGCTTGACCAATTATTTCAACGCCATTCAGTTTCAGAAAAGGTGCTGCAGGTAAGCTGAAAGACAGCCATACATATTTAAGATCACAACAACCATTCTAGTAACACTTCATAGAGAAGAGTAACGACGACACCATATAAGTGTATAAATAGATTCTATGACGCATTTAGTTTATACTAATTTGATGTAGTAGATATTAATGTTATTTTTATAAATTTAGTTAAATTTAAAATAGTTTGCCTTAGGATAAGGCTAAAAGTTGATTAGTTAGGCATAAAGAATCTTTTTTTCTCTCGAATAAGGCAAAGAGTTACATATCATTATAATTAAGAAGAAGAATTTAACCGTACAAGAATCGTCCGCCGGAATAACAAGCATGCCAACTCATTGATACAGAAGTTCCAATACACAAATATCATCAGGCCTTTGAAATGGTGTATCAAGCATGCACACAAGCTGTGGAGCCTAGAGCTGTAACATCAGCTCTTGATGGCATACCCTGATGTACAAATTGTTTGACACGTGTTTGATGGGCATACCCTTATGTACAAATTGTCTTGGCATAACCCATCTCTACCATGGCAGGCAGGAGACGAAGCCAAACCAAACCAAACCAAACCAAACCAAAATCCATTCTTATTTGCTGCTCACGAGTGGCGATTCACCCCTTGTGGCCTTGTCCTGCAATCTTCCCACCTCACCTTCTTTCACCCCCCACAATGCAAAAGCAATTGGAAATCAGAGCCTGGCCATGGCGGACGATGGCTTTGTTGGGTTCCTACTCTCCCTCCATTTCCACGAGCGAGAAAACTCATTGCTACCGGATGGATAAAAGCTCAGCAATTTATTCATCATCATCATCGTGAGAAAGCCGTCCGGCTGAAGCACGCGGCGTCACCGAACCCCTGGGGATGCATGCGTGGCGTAGCAGTACTCTGCTCTTTGCTGCTCGGTTTGCCGAGCGGTGACGCCCCACCGGTGTAGAAGCCACTGGGCTCGGGTTGTGGCGCGGTGAAATCCTTGATCATACCGTCCAGCATGGATTGCAGCTCGGCCAAGCTGTACACTGGTTCCTGCACGAGCAGTAAGGAAACAAAAGTGAGTTGTTAATCATCGATGTTGGAGCAGTGCACGGCATTTTGCATCCTGATTAGCATGAACATCAGGTAGCTGCTGTTAGTCTGTTACCTCTCTGCCCACGGTGGCCATGAGCGAGACCATCTCCTGGACGAAGTCGTGGAATCCCTGAAACCATCACCACGTCAGCAGACTGCCATCCAATTCCAAATGCGCAGGCAGGCATGGGCGAATAAACTGCAGAATTGCTTACCTCGACGTCCTCCTGGTCGTCGTCCAGCGGGTCGTACATGCCGGCGTCGTAGAGTGCCCTCCTCTTGTCATCCGACAGCACTGCGCGCGACACAGACAAACGGAGGGAAGGATGACACGTCGTTAGCAAACGCGATAGGTGCAGTCCAAATGCCCAATGCATCAGCTCAGCATCCACCAGAGACAGGGAGTGGGAGAGGTTTATTTGGATGCTTTACCTTGGTACGCCTCGTGTATCTGCTGGAACCTGCTCTTGGCCTCCTCCGCGCGCGTTGGATCCACGCGGCCGCCGGCGATCTTGTCCGGGTGCCATCTCTGCATCGCCGTCAGAGAAAGCATGTCATGCTCTGTTTCCTCGCGGGCCAATGCATAACAAAGTGATCGTTACCGATTGCAGGAGTTCCTAGCTAGTACTCACCATGGCGAGGCGGTGGTAGGCGGCGCGGATCTCGGCGGCGGTGGCGCCCGGCTGCACGCCGAGCACCGCGTAGTACGACTGATGATGATGCGCCTGAGCCGGCGGCTGCATCCTCCTCCCGCTCATCACGCGTGCCGTCCGTTGCGTGCGTTCGAATTCGAACGGCACTACCAACCAATCTCTCGATCTCTGGGCGCTTCGACCTCCCTCCCTCGCGCGCGCTGGTGCTAGCTAGAGCATCGACCGCCTCTAGTACGTACGGCAGGTACCCGGGCGGACGCGGTGAATGAAATGATGGCGATGGCGACGACGGAAAGCAGCGGAGGGTGGCAGGCTGTATATATAACGACGGGGCCGGGCGGGTGGCACAGCCGCACAGGAGTGAAAATATCTCGGCGGACAGAGATGGGGAGAAGATAGACGAAGCCTTGCGAAGCGCGCGGGCGGGAAGGCACAGAGGGAGGGCGACGGAGCGAAGAAATATCTTGCGTCCGGAACGTTCTCGAGCGACCGCAAAAAGCCCACCAGCCTGCCGCGTCGTTCCGTGGGCGGGCCGAGATATTTTGCGCGGTCCACGGTTGTGTGGCTCCCGTGGCCTGTTGTGGGCTCGGCCGGCCTTGGAATCTACACCTAGTCAATCCATCACATGAATCTACCCGTACCCAGCGATCGAAGTGCTGGCTGTGACTGTAAGTTTGGATTGGATGCGTTCTCCTTTTTTATGTTTTTATTTTTACCGTCATATAGACGTTTGATACTTTTCACGGCACGCAAGTTATGCTGAGGATTCTAGCCTGATAGGCTGGGAGCGGCTCGCTGGGCTGGCTGGCCAGCCCTCTCATATAAATACTGTTTACGCGAATCAGTTAGTAGTACTTCTCTCTTACGTAAACGAACTAACAACGATACGAACTAGCCAACCGAACATACTGCGGTGTCCCTGATTGACCTCCGCCGTGTCGTGGGCTGCTTACTGTACGTACACCGCCGCATGTTCCGTGACCGTCTAGTCGATATAAGAGCTTTCTTCTGAACATACACGACGCCCGACGAGGGCAGCTGGAAACAGTCGTCTCCTTCTCGTGGCATCCTTGCTTTCCAGGCCGGTCTCGCGCGCTCTGCCTGGGTGGCCTGGAGGTTGTTGCGGCCTGAATGGACGATGACGATGCGGACGATGAGCGCGTGTGCGCAATCATGGAGGCGGCGCGGCGGACGGGGGACGGCGGAGTGGTCGTTGCCCGCAGCGGCAGCCGGCCGGCCACGCGTACGTGTCCGCTGCACGGCACCTCCTCCTGTGCGGGGATCGCCTCCCGGCTGACACGCGGCTAGACGGGTTCAGGATAATGGGAACGGCGGCACGACGGCAGGGGAGTACCGGACCAACTAACCACTTTTTTTAATAAAAATAGTTTTTGCCGAATCATCTGGGCGCTTCTCATCTCTGATCTTAAAAAGTTGATTCGGCCAAAAATATCAGGGGCTGGGCTGGAATCTCCGGCGGTCACTGCACCGCTGTATTAGGGCTCGACGCTACACATGTGGGGTACGGTACGAATGCTCACGAATCAGGATTCTTTTGCTTCACGCTCGATAGGCCTTCCCAACGCACCTTTTTAACTAGTAGCCTATGTAGGTTCGGATAAAAAAGCAGATACTATATATTTGTCATGGCTGTTTACTGAAGCTGCATATACTTAGAAAGAGATAAGGTGATCCATACGAAAAAAAAAGAGGAAAAGGAAATAAAGATAAGACATGATGAAAGAAAAATGTTTCTTTGCAAACAATAAATAATGATTATTTGCATTATATGAATAATAATCTCAACATTTTCTAATCTACGTAGATTATTTTATTTGTACTATAACCACTAAAAATATTAGCTCGGTGGTTCGTAACTTGAATTATTGATCAAAGCCGCGCTACGTGCAGCTGCTGCCTTTTGCTGTTCGAATGGAACCTACGCACAGTACATCATTGCACTGGACACCGCAAAGCCATTCGTGACGTTTGAAACCACGTATTCCCATTTCCACACGCACGCATTCGAGCGAGTCGTGGATTGGTTTAGGCCTCACAAGTTTATTCGCAACGCAACTGTGAACAATTATATACCCCATGAGGCAGAGCGGCCATCGCAACTGTGTGCTTGGGATGCTGACCAGTAACGATGGCAAAAGTTTACATTTTCAAAAAAAAAAAAACTTGCAAAAGTTTATAAACCCTGAGTTTTGAGATATTCCATCATAAATCCCTTGTGTTGTTGATTAAATCATACATGATGTTCGTATTTTTTTCGATTTATTTCAGAGTTTAGTGGTAGTATTGTTTTAGTATTATACGTGGAAATAGGAGGTCTATAACGACTTGGTCAATCTCATAATCCGTTGTCATAGTCACTCTACGATGCTTGTGCATTTATAGGTACTTTTAGTGATACAAGATGATAAAATGTCTTCTAAGGTAATTTGGTCGATTTTATGATTCATCACCTAGTCTCCCGGAGATGCTTATGCATTTATCAGTACTTTTAGTAATACTCCGTATATGATAATAAAATATCTCTGATGACTTTGAAAATCTCATAATATATCGTCCTAGTCTCTCCAAGATGCTTATAAAAATAGGATGTGCTTGCATGCATTTATAGGTACGTGTGTATGCAGACTTGAGCAAAGTAGGTTTGCCTTGGCGTGGCCATCCTATTGACATGGTTAGACAACAAAACATGAACCTAAAATGGTTATCGACCAAAAGCGGCATCTAGGATGTTACTGGCATAAATTTTAGACCCAAATTAGACCTGATTTTTTGCTGACTCAACTCGAATACATGTCTGTTTGCACTGGCGGAGCTTCATTGGAGCCATAATGGTGTTAACAACAATCGGAGGATAGGAGGAAGCAATCGGGGTTGGAAGGGAGGAATCAGAGTTGGGGAAGAGGAGCAGAGCACGGGGACGAAGCGTAGAGGAATCTCGATAACTTGGGAAGGGGGTTCATACAATGTTCATGCCCTTCTGCGTTTACCACTACGATACATATATGCGCCTCCGCGAGCTCACGCACCACTTGCCCTCAGGGCTCACTCATGACGCCACTCTGGCCCGAAGAAGCGCACACTCTTGGTCTTGGCCCGAACTTGACGATCCTTCCTTACTTGGGCCTTCTCCTTGCCTTTGAGCTTCCCTGGTCGGCGCCCGTTGTCGGATGATGCATGTGTGCTGGTGCTAACACACCCCCCCTTCTTGTGCGCTGGATGATCCTGCACTGAGCCGAGGAATGCGAAGATCTCGTGAGCTTCTCCCAGGTTGCCAGCGATTCAGGAAGATGAGTCCACTTGATCAAACCCTGTGAGTAATGTAAGTTGCACCTTGGCGTAGGTAGCGCCGCTATAGAATTCGTTTAGTAATACTCCAAACTGAAGACTCTGATGGGGGTTCAGGTGTAACAGTATGATCCGCACCCACCGCCTTTTTTAGTTGGGAAACATGAAAAACTGGGTGAATGGCAGACAAGGGTGGAAGCTCCAATCGATACGCCACAGAACCGACCTTGGCAAGAATGCGATAAGGTCCAAAGAACCGGAATGCCAACTTATGATGGGAATGCTCAGCAAGTGAAGATTGAACATACGGTTGGAGCTTGAGGTAGACCCAGTCGTTAAGCTCAAACTGCCGTTCGGAGCGGTGTAGGTCAACATTCTTCTTCATGTGCTGCTTGGCATGTAGCAGATGTTGACGGATCAGATCAGTGTTCAGAGCTCGATCAGATTACCAAGAGGCTAGATTAGTGATAGAAGAGTTGTGAGCAACCTCAATGCCAAATGCGCTAGGGGCATAGCCATACATCACTTCAAATGGAGAACAACCCACGACAGTGTGGAAACTAGTATTATACCAATACTCGACCAAATCCAACCAGCTGCTCCACTGCTTAGTACATGCATGAGTGTAACAGCGAAGAAAGGTCTCGAGACACTGGTTGACTCGTTCGGTCTGGCCATCCGACTGCGGGTGGTAAGCAGTAGACATGCGCAGGTCCACTTTTGCCAGCTTGAAGAGTTCCTGCCAAAACTTGCTCATGAAGATGCGGTCTCTGTCCGACACAATGGCTTGAATACATTGGAGAAGAAAAGCTTGGCCACAGAACTTGCAGTGAACGGATGCTTCAATCCAATGAAGTGGGCATACTTAGAAAAGATGTCAACCACGACCAGAATGCAGTTAACAGACCCCGACATTGGCAACCCTTCAATGAAATCAATGGAAATGATCCGCCAAGCATGATCTGGAACTGGGAGGGGTTGAAGAAGACCTGGTAGCTTAGAACGGTCAGGCTTGGCCTGCTGGCACACCTGACAGGCAGAGACAAAATCATGCACTGCTTTGTTCATACCAGTCCAGGCAAAGTATTGCTTCAGTCGGCGGAGAGTAACCGGAATACCAGAATGCCCCCCCATAGCATTGGAATGCAACTCAGAGATCAACTGCCGCTGAATTTTAGTGTTGGCACCCACCCAGAAGCGAGATTTATACCTCAGAAGGCCGTTGAGGAATGTGAAGTGGGGCACCGATTGCTCATCTGCAGTCAAACGTGTGATGATAGACTGGGCATGCTCATCCTCAATATATGACTTGGTCACCTCAGATAACCAGTGCGGTTCAGCGACCGTAATAGCAGCACAGGAGCCGACTGGGTACCGTGAGAGAGCGTCAGCAGCTCGATTCTCAGCCCCTTGCCTGTAGACAATCTTGTAAGATAAGCCCAATAGCTTAGAAAATACCTTCTGATGCCAAGGGGTATGGAGTCGTTGTTCAGTCAGCTGGCTCAGACTTTTTTGATTAGTCAAGATATGAAACTCCCCATACTGCAGATAGGCACGCCACTGATCCAGCGCCAATAGAATAGCCGTATATTCTTTTTTCGTATGTCGACAACCCCTGAGACCATGGGCCCAATGCCTTACTGAGGAATGCCAATGGTTGTCCCCCTTGCATCAGTACAGCGCCAATGCCAATACCGCTGGCGTCAGTCTCCACATAGAATGGTTTCTTGAAATCTGGTAGAGCCAGAACCAGTGCTGTGGTAAGAGCATCTTTTAGTGCCTGAAAGGAGTTAGCCTAGGATTTGGTCCAATGAAAGGGAACACCCTTTTTGAGTAATTTGGTCAACGACTTGGCAATGATCGCAAAGTGCTGGACGAAACACCTGTAGTAGCCGGCAAGCCCCAAAAAATTGCGCAGATCTTTGACAGACAGAGGCACTGGCCATTGCTGAACTGTGATGATCTTTTTAGGATCAGTAGCCACACCAGCTTCAGAGATGACATGGCCTAGATAACGGAGTTGTGGCTGCAAGAAAGAGCACTTAGACATCTTGATTTGCCATTTGTCATGGCGGAGGAGCTCCAACACCAAGCGTAGGTGGACGAGGTGTTCTTCACGAGACTTGCTGAAAATGAGGATGTCATCAAAGAAAACCAGAACACATTTGTGAAGGAGAGGATGTAACGTGGTATTCATGGCCTTAAGAAAAAGTGGCTGGAGCTCCAGATAACCCAAAAGCCATCACCCAGAACTCGTATTGCCCAGAATGGGTCTGAAACACCGTCTTGGGTTCTTCGCCAGGGAGCAGACGGATCTGATGGTAGCCGGCAGTCAGGTCAGAGAAGAAAACCAGGAGGCCCCTTGTAACTCGTCCAGTAACTCCTCAATAACTAGGACAAGATACTTGCACTTAGCTGTTATGGCGTTCAACTGACGAAAATCAACACAAAACCTAAATGATCCGTCTTTCTTTTTGACCAAGAGCACTATAGACGAAAAAGGACCGCTGCTTGGCTGGATGAGTCCTGAATTCAACATCTCTGAAACTTGACGCTCAATTTCGGTCTTGACGGCCAGAGGGTAACGATAAGGCCGAACCTGCACTAGAGCAGCACCAGCAACGAGAGGAATCTCGTGGTCACAGTGGCGTGCTAGTGGGTAGCCTTGTGGTGGGTCAAAGACATCTTTGAACTCAGACAATAAAGCTGCTAATTCAGGCGGAGAAGATGATGAGCTACCTTCTAAAGCTTCTTCCTTCACTGCAGTGACTTGTAAGACTGCACCCACTGGGAGAGAGTCCAACTGCCCCTACAAATGCATCTGAGTACCTTCATATGTTATAGTCATCCACTTGTACCTCCAATCAATCTCCATGGGACTATGTGCCGTGAGCCAATCCATGCCCACAATGAGATCGTACTGTGATAGAGGAAGGACCTTGGCCACTGAAACAAAAAGAGCTTCTTCAGATCGACCCTCGCAATTGCTTGAATTCAGTATTACACAACATCTGAGTACCATTTGCCACCATCACTCTGGTGGGGTGAACACAAGCGGAACTGCCTTGAAGATGAGTGGAAAAGGAAGCACTGACAAATGTATTGGAACTCCCAGAATCTAGTAATATACGGACCTGCCTGCCCTGAACTTTGCCCATGAACTGCATTATACTAGCAGAAGCTCGATCAGACACCGCCGCTGAAGAAAGAGTCATGAACAGCTGAGCATCGGCATCGGGGTCCTCAGGCACCGCTTGATCATCACAATCATCACCATGACAGAGGTCCCAAACTTCCTGGAGCACGTGCAGTTGAAATTGCTCAGGACAGCGATGGTCGCGAGACCATTTCTCGCCACACCTGATGCAGAGGCCGTGGGCCCGGTGATAGTCGCGCAGAGTGTTCAACTTGGCGTCGACACCGTGCCCACACCGGTCATCAGCACCCGCGACAGCTCCCACCGCACGCTCCTACCGTTCACTGCGCCCCGTGGGTACCAACTGGGGTTGTGGCGCGCACGGGGGCAGCTTGGCCCACTGGTATGTGTCCGAACGACGCAACTCCTTCTTCCTCGACGAGTCCATCATTTCCTCCTACAACAAGGCAAGAACCACGGCAGTATCCAAAGTACCAGGTCACTGCATATGAACAACAGTATGAATCTCGTCGCGCAAGCCATCAACAAATCTCATAGCATAGTAGATGGGGTCAATGTTTTTGCCATAAGCTATTAAGCCATCAACAATAGAAGTGAATTTGTCAGCATATTCTTGCACGATACCCGTCTGCCTGATGTGAAAGAGCTGATGGATAAGCAGTTCGTGCTGGTCTTTGCCAAAGCGCTCCATCACTAAGGCAGTGAATTGTGGCCAAGACATCCTGAGCACTTGCTGCTCAACAGCAGGAAACCAGCGCGCGACGGCCCCGGTGAGATGCATCATGGATACCTTGATCCAGCGACGCGGAGCCACTTCATACATCTCAAAATAATCAGTGCAGTTGCGAAGCCAAAGGCGTGGGGTTTCGCCATCAAACTTGGGAAAATTCAGTTTAGGTAGTTTGTCGTTAGATTGGTTAGTGTCCCAGAGCTCTGGTGACTCCTGTGTTCCCAACCCCAGCTCCACAGCGGGCTGACTCGTATCCAGCATGGAACTAGAGTATGATTTACGCAGCGCAAAAGTAGGACGAGGAAGAGACTGCGGATGAGGGTGGGTATAGGGAGGAAAGTGACTGTGCGTACCCTTGACCGGGGACAGAGTTTGGAACTCGAATCCCCGGTGATGGTGCTCAACGCCGTGCCCAACAAACGAGCCAGTAACCTTGGGACCGCTGGAGAGCGACGCTCCAGCCGCGGTCCCCATTGGAGGAGGTTTGACGGAGCACGACGCCCCAGTCATGGTCATCACGGAAGGCAGCATGCCGAACTGCATCCTGGGCACGGTCACCCCTGGACAGGGCACGCCGAACGTGGCCCCGGCCATGGTCACCGCGGGCGGAGACAGGACGCTGGACGCAGCGCTTGGAGTCGCATCCAGCGCCGCACGACTCACCGTCTTGCGCAGGGCCGTCATCTCCTCCCGCATCTTGTCGACGACCTCCTCAGACTTGCGGATTGCGCCGATCTCGGCGCGGAGTTCCTTCACGGACTTGTCGACGGTGGGCTTCCACTCGTCGAACACCTTCGCTGCATCCTCCAGGCGGCCAAATCGGTCGGAGATGGTGCGCTCCACGGCATCGATGCGGTTGCCCAGCGATGAATTGACCGCCGCGATGCTGCCTTCGATGGCTGTCTGCATGGATTTCATCTCATCCAACATCAGCTTGAAGTTGGGCTCCATTGCTCCTCGATTTCGGCGGAAGCGGGTGAAGTGGTCGTGATCTATTTGGTGGGGCTCTAGGGTAGGGTTGGGCGGGCAACAACCTTCGATTCACGGCGACTGGATCAGCCTCGGATCGGACCTATGGTTCACGCGATTCCTCACCGAAGCGAGGACTCAGTGATCCGCTGCCGACGGGGATTACGATCCCAGATCAAGGCGAGAACGAGAGTAGTGCCGAGGAAGGTGGCTCCGAGTACCAATTGTTAACAGCAATCGGAGGATAGGAGGAAGCAAACGGGGTTGGAAGGGAGGAATCGGAGTTGGGAAAGAGGAGCAGAGCACGAGGACGAAGCGCAGAGGAATCTCGATAACTTGGGAAGGGGGTTCATACAATGTTCATGCCCTTCTGCGTTTACCACTACGATACATATATGCCGCTCCCGCGAGCTCACGCACCACTTGCCCTCAGGGCTCACTCATGACGCCACTCTGGCCGAAGAAGCGCACACTCTTGTCTTGGGCCAAACTTGACGATCCTTCCTTACTTGGGTCTTCTCCTTGCCTTCAGAGCTTCCCTGGTCAGCGTCCGTTGCCGGATGATGCACAGGTACGGTGCTGACAAGTGGGCCATGCCCCCCCTCATATTTGCAATTTTATTGAGGTTGCTACTGTACTTAAGAATATTTTGCTCGTATAACACTTGATAATGGCCACCTTAACACTTCCTAAACCATGCTTATTTTCTTGTTGCCTCCCTCTATATTTATCATCAAGCTCCGCCACTGCCTGTTTGTGTATAAAAAGAATACTACGGTGCAAATGGATCTCGTTGCGTGATTGTTAAAAAAAAAAAGGGATTATTCTCCAGCTGACACGTCAGCATGGAAGCACAGCCATTTGGTCAGCCTGGCCTCTGACCGGCCGACGAGTCAGCATGCTAGGCCGGTAGGGGCCGGACAGGGGCAGGGCCCAAACCTACTGTTTATACATGACTTATAAATTATATTTTTTTAAGTTATATTTTTTCAATCAACGAATAATATTTTTCTCTTTAAAAAACAAATCAGCTAACACTGCTTCAGCCGTAACTTATCAGCAAACGAGTGGACCAATGGCTCGGCCTGCTGGAGCGCGATCAAATCGGCTTCTGTGAGGCCGAGGCGTGCGTGTTTTTTCCCCGGACCCCAATCTTCTTCTTCTTTTTTCTTTTCTTTTGCCTTCGCTGCGGCCTGCGGGTGGTCATACGAAGACTCGTCTTCCTCCGGTTCCGGCCGAACGGTTGGATCTCCTCCCTCCACCAATGGCCGCCTCCCACCTACCCACGCTGCTCCTCCTCCTCGTCCTCGCCGCCGTCGCGCCGGGCCCCTCCAGCGCGCGCCACATCATCACCTTCGCCCCTTCCCGCGCGGTCAACCCCGCGTCCCTGGCTTGGGACCCCACGGCGCAGCACTTCGTCGTCGCTGGCGGCGGCGATGCCGTCTTTTCCGTCTCTGACGCTGGGGTAACCGAGTCGATCGTCTCCTCTGGCGCCTCCTCCGTCGCCGTCGACGACCGCCGACGCCGCCTCCTCGTCGCTTCCCCGGGGTCCGTCTCCGCCTTCGATCTCCGCTCCCCGCGCCCGCACCGCCTCATCCTCTCCACCCCGCTGCCGGACCCCGCCCCTCCGGGCGGCATCGCTGTGGACCCGCACACCGGGAGCGCCTTCCTCACCGTGGGCGCTCGAATCTACAAGCTGTCCGTAGAGGGCGACCTCGCCACGCTCGCCTCCGCGCCGGCGCTCGGCTCCGAGCCCCTAGCCTCGCTCACCGCACACGTGAGCCGAGGCTTCCTGCTCGTGGGCCAGCCCAGCACGGGCAGCCTCCTCCGCGTCGACATGGAGGACGGCGCCACGAGGACCGTGTCCTGCGCCCTCACGCCCCCCACGCCGATCGCCGTGGCGGTCCGGACCGATGGGGCGGTGGCGGTGGGCGGGGCCGCGGGGCTACGCCTCGTCGTGAGCAACGACGGGTGGGCGTCGTGCGGGGTGCGGGACGAGGCTGCGCCCGCGCCCGACGGCCCCGTGGCCGCGGTGGCGGTGCGGGAGCGGCGACGGGTGTACGCGCTGGTGGAGGCGGGGGCAACGGACGGGGGCAACAAGTGGCGGATCGAGGAGGCCTCGTGGAAATCGGAGTCGGAGGGGGAGATGGTGGTGGTGCTCGTCTTCGTTGGCGTCGCCCTCGCAATCTTCATGTTCTGGAGGTTCCAGATGCGCCAGCTCGCCGGCAACATGAACAAGAAGATCAGATAGTACCAATGCAATGCCTCCTTCCTTCCTTTGTTTTTGAAGAATCTGTAGTCAATTGCTTTTACCATGCCGTAGTTGGTGTACTTGTGGATTAGACACGTTATTTGTACTTCAATTTACACATTGTAATGGAAAAGGTTCCCCTTACAGATTTGTTATGATGGTGAATTGCACTCGATTCAGTAAACTGATATCGGTTTGCAGCATGTTCGTTTGGCCGTGGATTGTCGTAAACGATCGTAAATTTTCAGCCGGAACAATATTTTTCTCTCATATAAACCAACCAACAGTATTTATTCATGAACCAGTAACAAAACGAACCAGCCAACCGAACATGCTGTTATTTGTATCTTCTATTCATTGCATTGTAGGCATCATGCCAGAATTTGCTTTGTGTAAAAACTGGGCAGTTTGACATATCTTGCAGATCATATACTCCCTCTGTCCCGTATTGATTGTCGCTCTGGCATACTTCAGCTCTGTCCATGTTCACACCTTCTGTTGTGCATCTGGACCATCCCTTTATCCACATTCACTGGACCATCCCTTTGTCCACATTCACAGGTTTTGTGCTGCACCTCCTTAGAAGCTACAACGACCCTGATAAAGGGACTGAGGGAGTATACAGCTGCCCAGCCATACTCCGGTTTCTCACTTCTAACATGGAGAGGGCTTCTGTTTCTGTAGCTTATAATCAAAATCAGGCCTAATGATTCCCTAACGATTGACAGTTAGGGCAAATACTGATATGTTCAGTTGTGACGTCGACACACGTCAGGGTTCAACGGCGTGTGCAGTTGGCTCAAGGTCACAGGGGTCTTGCAGCCATTTAAAGAATTTCTCACTGTTATACAATGAGACAGATGGAGAAATACCTAACGGAATGATATTGAGGCTGATGAGCTAATGGTAGCAAAAAGTCGGTGGTCTTGAAGTACAGTGGATATTAAATGTATTGACAGAAGCAGTGATGTCCATTGTTACAACAAATATTTCTGAGACAGAATATTTGTTTGTTTGAAATGTACTTCATTCGGTTAAAGAAGTGTTATTTTGATGGGATGTCTTCAGAACACATGTTTTGTTGCAATATTCTTGAGACCAATAAATAATTCAGTTTTCCAAAACGGCAGTCTATTTTCACCGAGAGGGCACGTGAATTCATGCCAGTAAAAAATGTAGTTTTCCAAAATGGCAATATTTTCAACCAGGAATCCAAAACTATGGGGTTTTATATCTTAAAAGATTAACCAGATGCAAACCCTGTAACACAACCTGAAGTCATCGTAGTCTCAGACTCTTCAGTGAAAAAGAAATCGAATGTACTCTCACATGAAGCATGGTAACAAAGTGTGATATGCATAGCCAATATATTTGACTATTGTGGAAAATGAAGCATACACAAGCACTCACATATGCCTCTTTTTTCTTTGGTATAGATATAAGAGTGTAAATGAACCAAAAGTATTTTTGGTGGAATTAAAACCATTAGAATATGCATACTTCCAGTGAGGCATAGATAAACATGTTATTAACCAGCTGTCTTGGAAAATTCTAATTAAGTGACGAACCGCCATCTTTTGTCAAGAATAGAGAGGAACTGAAGAGTCAGATACAAGTACAACTGCGAAGTGCGACATGAAGACAATCGCCGTATACTTTGCCATAGCAATGGCTAAGCGCAACATGATGCTCCTCATCGACGGATGTGGAATGGGAAGCACTTCTTTCAACCATCGGTCCTTTTAACTGCAGCAGACCTTGTGGGGGTTAGATAGCGAAGCTAACAAGTAACAACTCAGATGAAATCATGAAACAATTGGTCAGAATGAGGAGTGCGGATGCGCCTTACTTCTCCACTGTCCTGTTGGTCATCAATCCAACAGTCTACATGCAGAAACTGTCAGAACCCAGAGATGGCACCCTCCTATGTAAGATCACTATTGACTGTAGCCTAGCTGACCTGCCCGTTTTGTAATTTCACTTGCCGTGCTCCTCCTTGAAGTCGGTTTCAAGCTAATGGGCCTCAGTAGTCACAGCATGTATAAATTTTAGAGAATTTGCACTGCACCAAAGGGCAAAACTGAAGGGTCCTCAATGTCAACAGATGTCCTGAAGCTATACCAGTAAGGTGGCTACAATCCCTCTGTTTTGCCACCTTATCACCAAATGCACAAGGACCGCAAAGCCCCATATTCTACGCAGTTGCATGGTTCCATTACAATACCTATATTGTTGACATGCTAAATTCTCAAAATTCGCACTAACTTGTAAACCTGAGCACTTCTAGATGGCAATGCCAATTCCAAGGAGTTGCGGCAACCATCAGCTCTTTTGTCGGAGGTCCTCCGCATATACTTTGTACTCTTGAGGGTTCCACATCCACCATATTTAGTTTCATCCGTGTTGAAGATGAGTTGGTATTCCCCAGCTTCTTCCACACCAACATGATATGACTGATGGGAGACTTCAGGATTGAAGTTAAATACGAAAAGGAAAGGCCCTCTTGTGAAAGATATGACCATGCTTGTGTCATCACAGTGAAGAATGTTGGGTGAACCTCTAGAAATTATCCTTTCATTTTCATCCAAGCTCATGACATCCTTGTCAAAGTTAAATACATGTTTATGAAAACCTTTGTCCAATAGTTCCCATTGCCGATTAGCAAACTGGAAGGAATAGTCATTGCTTGGCATAGGAAATTCAACTCTTTCTGGATGTGCAAACTCATTGCCCATGAAGTTGAGATAAGCGCCTCCGCTTGTTGCAAAAGTAATTAGTTTGATAATTTTCAGCAATGAAGAAGCTCTGATCAAATCATCGTCAACAGAACCAACAGAGCACTTTCCTGAATTAAAAATTATCTCAGCGAAAGACTTGCGTCCTGATATGGACTGGTTATGATTTTCAACATACGAGAGCATATTCTGGTTACTGCTTACTAATACTTTAATAATCTTATTCATGCTCCATTCTCGTTCAGGAACATTTTCAAGATGCCACAACCACATTTCTGGAACAGACAGATTGACCCAGTAGTCGAATCCTAATCCACCTTGAGTGGTTGGCTCACATAATCCAGGATAAAATGTTGCATCTTCAGCAATTGTTATAATATCTGGATGAAGCTGATGTAACATTTCATTTGCTAGAATTAGATATATCAGTGCATCCTTGTCAACATACTGATTGCAATACTCTTCCATGGCACCAGTAAAAGTAGAAAACCCATTATGAGTATATAACATAGAAGACAAAGAGTGAAACTGGAATCCATCAATCCGGTATTCAGTGACCCACCAATTCAAATTGGACAACAAAAAGTGCAGAACATCCACATCATCATATTTAAACATCCTGGTGCCCCAATACTTGTGATGCCCTCTTTTTCCGCTGTGGAAGTAACAGTCATTAGAGCCATCATAAAGTGATAAGCCAACCAGTTCATCTGCAGATGCATAGGAGTGGACAATATCCAGAAGCACCACTAATCCAAGGCCATGCGCCTCATCGACTAATTTCTTAAAATCATCTGGGGTGCCAAATCTGCTGCTGACAGCAAAATAATTAGTGACCTTATAGCCAATGGAGGAGTAATCCTTGTGCTCCACAACACCAATCAGTTGAACGGCATTATATCCAGCCTTTTTTATATGAGGTAGGACTTTGGATGTGAACTCCTGAAACGATGAAACCTTTTGCTCTGACCCACTTATGCCAACATGGCATTCATATATTCTAAGTGAACTCTTCACCTTTGGCCGTCCAAATATCCATTTGTAAATTTCTTCAGGAGGAGGTTCCCAATGTACTGCATAGGATTGTTTCCCTTCAGCATCTGGAAGAACATATGTAGCCCAAGCAGGAATACGTTCTAAAGCACCATCAGGAGTATTAAAATAAACCCTGTACTTGTCTTTATGAGAAATCATTGGGACATATTTCTCAAGCCATGCTATTCGACCTTTCCTCATTTCAACCCAGTAAGCAAGGGGAGGTTTCTTTGCTTGAAACTTTTCAAATGATGCACGATCTGTCACAACATTGAAAATGTCAAATGGCTGGCCATTGTCAATGATATCATAGGAAGGCAACGTGCTTGAGGAGTCAGCCTTCTGTGACGCTTTAAACTCATTGTATCTTGTTTGGGCATCAGGAATTTCACCTAGCTCCTCCTCTGTTTGCGGACCATTCGGGCCAAACATTTGCTCATATAGCTTAACAACCATCTCTAGCTGAGACTTGCGTGACCTGATTTCTTCAGGTTCCCAATACTCTTCTTTCATCCTACGCATTATTTCTTCAGCATCAACGCCATTGTCACCTTTATCATAATCATCCACATAATTGTATTCCTGGAAAAAATATTCATCTTGCTCTTGCCCTTCTCTGAGCTTATCTTCAAGTATGATAAACCAATACCCAAAATCATCATGTCCTAAATAGCCTTCCCTGGCACAGTTCTCAGTTGGCGACCACTGATTAAAATCACCAACCAAAGAACAGTAGCGAGCACCTGGAGCCCACTCCATGAAATCGATGCGGTGCTGTCGATGCCGGTGCATGCCCAATAACTCAAACCCAGAAGATGCCTCTTTCAGATCAATAAACCGAGAACACAGCTCCCATCTGCGGTCCTTCAAGGCCTTGTGCCGGTCGCGGAGGAACTGGGCGAAGGCGCGGTCCGAGACGCCGAGCTTGGAGAGGAAGCCCACGGGGTCGACGGCGTCGCCACGGCCACCGGGGCGCTGCTGCCTCTGCTGCCGCGGCCTGGGCGGGCGCTCGCGAGGCGCGGGCGAGGAAGAAGACGAGTCGCAACGGAATGGGTAACCATGCCGGCGTCCGGGATGAGGGCGACAGCTAGTTGGGAGGTGTGCGCGGCCCGCGGAGATTGGGCAGCCGTCGGCGCCGACAAGGGGAGGAGGGGGCCGCGGGACAAGGAGGAATAGAGGGCACGACGCCATAGTTTTGAGGTTGGTGCCGTGGCTGAGGAAGGGGAGGGAGGAGCGCCGGGAGTCGCGCCGCGCCGGAGGGAGGCCGTGAGCGAGAACGGCCGGCGACGGCAAGGGGTTTGGGGAGGGATAAGCTTGGGCTGACTGACAGAAACGAGTGTGATGATGTTTTTTTTTTTCTTTTTCTAAAAGCAATTTGCACTTGCATACGATGAAAATGGCAAGCGGGCCGATTGCAGCCCGATGGTGACAAGCGGCCCAACGAGACGGGATTCCCCGGAGGACCCGAGTGAGGCGGCCCACTCAAATAAGCAGTTGGGATGGGGCCGAGCCCGACCGCCGGACTTTCTCGAACCCGCCCAGAGGCCCGAGCTAGGGCTCCTCCTCTACAAGCCCTTCACCCCCGTCCGACCGCGGCGGCGGCCGCCCGCCGCTCTCCGGCATGTACAACGGCATCGGGCTGCAGACCCCGCGGGGGTCCGGCACGGCCGGCCACGTCCAGGCAAGCAAGTTCGTCGCGAAGCCCCGGCCCTCCCCCTCTTCCTCCCCTTCCGCGGCCGGCGGGATGCGGAAGCCGAACAAGGACATCATCGAGCACGATCGGAAGAGACAGGTGGAGCTGCGGTTGTTCGTGCTGAGGGACGCGCTCGAGGATCTGGGGTACACGGAGGCCGAGATCGAGGCACGCGTTGACGAGGCGCGCAAGGCTGCCGAGGCCGAGGCGGCAGCGGAGGAGGTGGACGAAGGCGGACCACCTCTCCAGCGCAAAGGGTATGGGCATATTGAGTAGTTCCTGTTTCTCATTCATGCGTCTCCCTATTGATTTTTTAGTTATCTCAATTCGTGTGCGATTGCGTAGTCCTGCAGAGTGTAGAGGATGGCAGATGGCAGCTATCTATAGCAATATCTGCACTTTCATGTTGGGTTTCGTATTCTATTCTATTGTGTATCTTCGAAGTGAAATTGTTGTCCTCTCTGTATTAGAGATGCTCACTCGTTTGTTGTCTCTGATGAAATGATGTGCACCCCAGTAGGCCAGTGGTAGTTTACACTTTACATGTTTCACTCTAGCTTTTTGCCTGTGCGTTGCAACGGGAGCCAAACAAAATTTCAACACAATAAGAGCCAAAAGACATTATTTGCCAAAGAACATCAATGTGAAATCTGAATGACAAATTAGGTTATTTCACAATTCAGACATAAATCCTTACAGTTAGAGTATTTGAACTAATACAAAGGTTCATATATCCATATAGTTGACTTTGCACCCCTAATTACATGTTTCAGCCACCATATTAGTCCATTTTATATCATTTTATCAAACATCTCAAGGGCACTGAAGTCTGAGTACCAAGGTATGCAGGTGTGATAACTATGGGTCCTATTATTAGTACGTAGTGCTAACTGGCAGCTAACGCACCATTAGTTCTAGAGCACAAACATTGAATAGCCATTGTGAGTTTGTGGCCCCCAGAGAACCTGGCCTGCCTGGGCATAGAGATGGCTTGCCATGTTCCTACCTTACTGCCCCTGTATATAGTGCCCAAGGTCTTCATCTGCCGCCACGGTGCCACTTTGATAGCACTGAAGAGAACACATAAACACCACATGCTGCATCTTAACAGAATTTTAGTAATTAGAGTATTTTCAAATGTGATTCAATGCAACAAGATATGAACTTCTTAAGCACAAAATTGAATTAACCTAAAAGAAAATTGATAAAAGTTCCTTCAATCTAATAAAACATGGCTACACACAAAGAAAATTTGTAAAAATTTTCATGTAAGCTTGTTCCTATTAGATCATATAAGTTTAAGGATAAACAAAGGTCCACTTCATTTTTCATTATAAACACCACAGCTATTGCCCCCAACCAGTGGTAAGTTAAATGAATCACATGCTACCAAATCTTGATACAGCAAGCCAACATGAAATCACTAAACTGCATCGGCACTAAAGTTGTCTAGCCATTCTGCCTTGGATCTGTGGAGTTGCAAGCCATACCTCTTCCATATGAGACCATGACACTTCTTCCCAGATGCCTGCTACCAATCAATTAAATCGGCACCACTTCTTGCCATTACCACTGTGAGTGGATCTGTTGCGACAGAACATGCCATCGGATGTAGCTTTTGTTTCTGAGTAATTGTAGCCTTACCTACCTCTGAACAAAAACAGGTTGAAGTTGTATTTAAAAGAGCTCCAAATCTATAGGAAAAAGGCAACCCACAGATTCTTGACAACTTGAACCCATAGAATCCATTGTAGGAAAAAGGCAACCAACCCCAAATCTATACTAATCGCAGCAATGTAGCTGACAGTTTTGCGTAGCCATCCGCATCGACCAATTGAGTGTCTCAAAGATGCAATCAGATCGAAATTAGGGAAATAACAGACAAATCTTCTAGTAGGCAGTAAAAAGATTAGGGAAGAGGCAAGAAAGTAGAGGAAGAGTAGGAGAAGGGACTTGCCAAAGTAGTTCGCCTCTCCTAGCATGGGATCAGGAAGCGGTCATGGCAAATGGAGCAGACGTTGCTCGCTGGAGGCACGGCCAACGCCACTGAGGAGCCCATCTCTTCCCGAGCTGCGAATCAAAAGCAACTGGAGGCCGTGAGCTCAGCCGATGGGGCTGCCCCCTTCGAGGAGGAGGGCCTCCTCTTCTCCTCCTTATCCTATGCCGACATCATGGTCTACCGGAGGGCCATGGCCTCGCCCATGTGGGGTGGAGGGGTGCTTCCCTGTGTAGCCCGCGGAAGCAGAATCATGGGGAGGCCATGTGGGCGGTGGGGTGGATGGGTGCTGGGGTGGGTGACGCATGGGCGGACGGGAGGACAGCAGATGGGGGCGAAGGGCGACCGGTGGAGACGCGCATGAGAGAGACCGAGGGACGAGAGAGGGAGCCCAGGTCCCACCTGTCGGCACGGGACAGAATGCGGGAGGCATGCCGGAGTATGGGTGTAGACGTATGTATATATGGCCATCGGGCCGGCCGACACGGCACGCGGGCAGTGCACTACCAGAACTTCTCGGGCCGGCGACACGACGTCAGGCTGTGGGCCGTGTACAAGACGGGCCGTGCGGCATTCGCATTCGCCCGCGGCCAGCATGGGTTGATTTTCGGGCCGTGCCAGCCTGACCAACCCGACGAAAATATCGGGCCGTGTCAGCCCACAGCCCGCAATTCTGTAAACACACCAGCAAATTCAGCTCTAACTTCAGTTTTCAAATTTGGAATCAAATTTCACAGAAAACATAAAGGATAAGAGATCACACATTCATAATCACAACTCACAATCATAAGTTCACAACTAGACTGGATTCAAAGATAACAATTAACAACTAGACCATTGACCAGTCACAACTCACAATCACAACTCACAACTCACAATCACAAAATAACAATGCACAAACAAGACTTAAAAAGATAATTGAGCTGTGTGTAATGCTGTCTCATTAAAAACCTTTCTAAGTAAAACTCACCATTGTGAGAAACTCTAGAAAGAAAAAAAGAGTGCAGGACAGCTCTTATAATGATAAGTTCAAAGTTCAGATACAAATGTCACTCTCAGTTTCATCTCAACTCTCATCTCTCCTCTCAATCTCAAGTCCTCAACTCACTCTCATATCTCATCTCTCATCTCTCAACTCTTAGAACAGAGAACACTAAGTACCAGCAGAAGTAGATGCAGAAGCCACTGATGTACCAGCCGAAGGAGCCCCAGATGCATTCTCAATTTCTTCATCAAGATATAAATGCTCGAAGTAGCTTGCCAACTCTTGGTTGTTTGTTGAATGCTGCAGTCTTCGTTCTCCCAACTCCCAATCCTTGATGCAAGCAAGCATCTCCACATGTTCTGGCAACAAGCGTCGGCGCCGCTCTTCAAGTATCCTTCCTGTCAAGCTGAAGCATGATTCTGAAGACACGATGAACCGGAATGAGCAGACATTATATCTTTTGCCATTATAGATAAAAACAGAAAGGTTAGTTTGTGGTCACGCCACCGGAGAAGCAAATCAAAGTCATTTTCATATGCAAAGTGACATTTGTCTTTGTCTCAGGTAAGTCTGTGAGCTCACAACCAACAGATGCAGCAGATGAAGTTGGGGTAGGGGATGGACCAATAACACCAGAGGCTCCAGGGCCTCCAAATATTCTTCCCCAAGCCTGTTTTCTCTTACTAGTTTGGACTGCAGGATGTGCAGCCCTTCTATTCTTATTTGCACCAAAACTTCATTACATACTTGACAAATAACTTATAAAGTTCAGTTTTAACAGAAGCATAATATGAATTGTAATCAACACCAAGGTTTTTTTTAGAATTACCAGGACATTAAACAGACCTCTTATCTTAGCTCTTGGATCAAGAATGAAAGCAAATGAATACAATAGAGGTATATTTTCCCAGTAATTAAGAAATTTTAGTTTCATCGGATACACAACAGCTATCAGATTTTGATCCTTTTCACTTTCATGCAAATGAGCAGAAATGTCAAGAAGATGATGCAAAACAAAAGGGCTAGTTGGATAGTACACACCAGAAAGAACAATAGTTGATTCATAAAATACTTCCAGGAATTCCAATACCTTTGCAGCTATATGCCAATGCCTTGGAGTTAACAATTCAGCCCCAAAATTAGCATTAATGAACACATAAAAAACTTCCTTATATGGCACCAGGTGTTTAAGCATAAGGTATGTAGCATTCCATCTAACATCCATATCCAAATCAAACTTCCTAGGTCTTAAACCTTGAGCATTACAGTAGTTCTTAAACTTGGCAATTCTATGATTAGAAGAATTCAAGAAGTTAATAGCAGTTCTAAAATCTTTTGTGTAAGGTTTGAACCTCTTTAAACCAGATTTAACAATCAAATTTATGATATAACAAGCATAACGTTGATGAATAAGGTGATAAGTTCTTTTATTAGGATCAGAAGGTGTAGGGGCTGGATCAGAACCCAAATATTCTGCAAACAAAGGTGTCAAAGTTTCCATTGCTTTTGCATTAGAAGAAGCATTATCTAGAGTAACATAAAAGATTTTGTCAATCAAACCAAATTCCTCAGTCACAGAACCAATTTTTTCAGCAATGTTCTGACCAGTATGCTTCACCTCAATCAATCTCAACCCAATTACTTTTTCTGTAGCTCCCAGTCAACACTCACAAAATGAGCAACTACACTGATGTAGTCCTCCTTAGCATTATCAGACCAAATGTCAGATGTCAAACCAACAGATGAAGCACCACGCAAAATATGATTCTTAAGCATATTACGACGTTAAGTAAATAACTTACTTATGTCTCTAGTGGTGGCCTGCCGGGAGACCCTAGTAAAAATAGGGTTATGAGCACGTTGAATGTACTCCTCCCATGCATCAGTGTCACCAATACCTAAAGGAAGATCAAGCCTAGCAATCAATCGACACAACTCCTGTCTAGCTACATCAGGTTTATAGTCCCAGTTGTGCAAACCATCAGGATTAAGCGCAAGCTTAGACTGAACAGCAGCACGTCGATTAGTTTTTTCCATACATGATTTTTGGTGCCTCTTCAAGTGCCTGGGCCTGCAAAAGCAGATCTAGCAGACAAAGTAGCCTTACACATTTTGCAAATGACTTTAGTGCAAATTCTCCGCCGTTCACATCCTCATAGATCTCATCAAAGTCAGCCCTGCATGGAGATTTGCGCTTACCAACTCTGGTTGCATTACCGAAGCAGATGGAGCAGAGTGTTGGTGTTTGAGCCGGCCCCACTGTCGTCGCCCCTTCACCACCACCGCCGTCCAGAT